TCAAAATATATGAACTTCATATATATACATTGTAAATATGAACTGTACATTTTATTTGTGTAGCAATTTAAAGAGAAAGCATCAGTTCAACGGGACAGCAAAAGAATGCAACCAGCAAGATGTGCTCACCTCATGACTGTAGCAATGGCTAACAGGCTTGATGAAGTGTGGATTTCTCCCAATCCGATCCTTCTATTTATCTACATCAGTCAGTACTGTCCTGTGCTATATGATTGGTAAGTCAGCATCGTGCCTTGTGAAAGAGGGGTGGATTTGGTGGGTTCCCTTACTGCTCTTGTATATACATGTAGATTTCCACCATGAGAGTTTCACTTTTGGAACTGTTCATTAAGAACTTTTTACCTTTTTTTCTCCCATGAAGTGAAGAATTACAGAAAGGAAAACTACGATACTTGTATCATATCATGCATTAACTTCTGTATATTTGTTTTAGGTTTGCCACACGTGTGGGTATGAAACAGGTTCGAAGGATGCGAGAAGAGACAGAATCAAGGTGACTGCTACCTAAAATTGATTATAATTAATTCTTAATAATTGAAATGAATGGTATACCTATGTATTTTCCAGCTTGATTCAGATGTTTGGATGATTGATGAAGGGCTGTTCTTCACTGAAACCCTTTGAGAGCACAAAATGTCAATCTTATTGATGTGGGAAAGAAATGAATGTATGAACAAACAAGACAATGAATTACAATGTACTTATGACTGCTCTAAGACTGGGAAGTAGAAGTATCCATCTTGAAATGAAAAACTGCTTTTTTCTTAGTGCTTAATGCCGAGATTCAACCACAAAAATCATCTTGAAACTATGTTGTTAAAAGGTAGTTGAATACTTAGCTGGCACAAGTTTCTTTTACAGCCTTCACATGTGGATATTTGTTCTTTTTTCTTTTCCTTGACCTATCCGCAGACCATTTCCTATGACGTAAGCATTGGCATTCTTTGCCTCATGGGTTGTGGATTCTGTCTAAGGATGGGAGAGTGCTGCAACACGCCTTGTGTTTTTTCTTTGTTTGGTTTTTTTTTTTTTTTTAATCAACTGATTACATCTCGCATCTTTGTTTTACAGGAAAAAAGACTGACGAACAGAAAGCAGTCAACGAGTGAAATACGAATTTAACTACTGTTTGTAATCGTGTTGTATTCTTCTAATCAATCAATAAATAAACGAATACTATGTTTAATTTTAACCCGTTCAGCACGCTCTAACGTGGGGGGAGGATCTGGGGACTGATTGATAATCTACAACACAACAATCCAATCATGCCGGGGAGATGAGAGACCCTGGGAACGAGGTTGACTCCCAACGCTACCCCCCTTCCCGTTCCCATTCCACTTTTCATTTAGAATAGAATAGAATAGAATCTTTATTTATACACGATGAGAATTAAAGCTAAAAAGCTTGCGGGGTCGTGTTCTTAACAAAATAGTATCTAGCCAACTATTGATTATACTTAGACACATTTCAAACTAAATAAGAAACTATAATACAGTAAAACATTCAATTTTCCTCTCAACTTAAAAATACTTGTAATCAGTTAATATATTCCTGGCCGTCGACCCTGATAAACTAGTAAAAGTAAAGCTTGTGAAGTGATTATTTCTCATGAGTAGCCTCCTAAGATTCTTAAGAGCCAAACTACCTACATTTTTTACATGATGGTTAACATAGTTCCATAGAACCGAACCTCTATATGCTAAAGAGTCCTTTAACAATCTAGTGTTGAATCTAGGTATGGTTATTGCTTCTTGGTCTCCTAGTGAATAGCTACATTCCCACCTTATGAATATGCTATTAATTAGAGTAGTGAGACTTTACTTGCTCTATAAAAAAGGTTAACTATTTGAAATTTGTATTCTAAATTGATCGTATCCCATACTGAAGCGTTGAGAGCTACATTGGATTCCGTATCTTTGGATAAGTTGTTGAAAATTTTTGTTGCACTACAGTGGAGTTTCTCAATAGAGTACAGAAGATCCGAATTTGCACACGAACCCCATAATATAATACCATACTTCACAGAAGGTAATATTACACTAAAAACTATAAAAGGACACTTTTGGGCTAGAACCTTGAGCGCTTCAATAAGTATATTTTGTTCGCAAAGTTTCTCTTTAGTTCTAGCATATGCGGTATCCAGTTAAGGCTCGATCAGATTGTATTTTCCGTTTCCTGTAAGCAACCCCCCATTGGCGCTGGGGCACGAGCGGCGGAGCTCCACGGGTTTAAAGCCTGCGAGCGTGCAAGGATTAAGGCGCTATTGAGAACCTCCTTGAAGGCTATGTCGTACTTCGACACTCTTCAGAAACTTTCAGAGCATGCGGGAAGATAAGAAAAGGCAATGACAAACAAAATGAGGCATTCTGCATTCATAGTTCTACCGTGAGAGATGAAGAGAGAAGATATAAGATAGATGAAGATGAATGGCTCATTTATAACCGCTTTGCAACTTTAAATTGAATTTTACGGTACAACATCCTTATCTCGTCCTCAAAGCGCTGGAGTGGCTCTGGGAACGAGAATTCTTGGTGGATTCCAGTCTCCACTCCATAATACCATATGGGTATTAACAGTTAGGGGTATTCGGAATTGAACAGAGCCGCTTGTACTTTTGGGTTCTTGAGTAAATGTGTTTCTCTTTTGCTAAAAAGTAGCGGAGTAGTTGGCGATTCTTTTTTTCCTATTAGCCGAGAATTTCAGCAGGGCATTGGTTGTTTTGACGCGCGCGCGTGATATTTTAACCTCAAACCGAAACTCGTATTGAATGTGGGTAATCAACTTATTTTGAGCAAACTTTTACATAAATATATTAATGAGCTCGAGTGAAGTGTGAAAAGGCCAACAAAGGTGAGGGAGCCATCATAAAGGTGAGTGCAAATTTTTTTCTGAAAATTATATTTTCCTTTTATTGATTCCAAATCGATCTTACAACCATTTGATTACTAATATAATAAACATTTAAATTTAACTTGTTGTATTCAATCTCAAATTTATGCACTCAATTGATTCCTGTAATTTTTGTTTAAAATGATTTCTTTGATATATTTTTTAGTTGCAGTTTTTTACTTTCATTGCTTTCATTATCTAAAATGATTCACCATTCAATCAATTAATCCAAGAAACGCAGGCTGAATTTTTTTCCCCAGCCCTTTCCTCATGATCAAATTGGACATCTGGTGAGATCACTACTCTCCCCTCCCCTACAAAACCTCTTAAACCCTCATTAAGCAATTTCACTTCTGCATATCTTATCTAGAAATCTTTGCTTTCCTGTTGCTGTAGCTTGTATCAGTAAAGATTTCTATATTATTGTGATTGATACATACTGCACTAACTCAGTTCGTTCGTACCCCAAGGTCCAATCGTGAATTCTCCCCTCTAGCTGCTACAGATTTCCTTGTATTTGCAGCATTTTTTTCTGTACTTGCTATTTTATTGTAAGTGAGATGCCTCTCCTGTAAGCCCAGTGGCTTCTTGGGTCTCCTTACCTTCTAGCTGTTATCGCTGTAAATAAATCTTCGTATTCTTAAAATAAGGCAAACAAAGATGACAATGATGATGATGATGATGATGATAAATAAGTCATGAGAATTTGGTGTTTGATCGAGATTATAACTTCTGCTCGATAAGTTTAAGTATTCTTATTACCTGTTTGTTGGATAATGTATAGATATTATGATAGGGGGGGACTGTTAATTACTTCCAGGAGATAAGAGGTTAAAGTAGCTGTTATTATCTTAGAATCATCATCCCCTAAAGCAATGTTGTATACAGTGAAGTGCATCCCCTTAGAGTGGATCCCAATGCAAGATGGAACCAAACTTGCAGCTAAACTGTGGATTCCAGAACCAACTGATAACACTGACTTACCTTCAGAAGAAGGAAAATATCCAGCTGTACTAGGTCAGGATTTTATGTACTGAATCTTTCAATTTATCAGCACATTGTAAAATGTCTTCTCTTAATTGGATGAGCTAAAATTTCAGCAATTGAATTTTCCTCTTTCCAAGAATTTCTTCCATATCGCCGCATTGACTGGACAGCTCAGAGAGATGAAACAACCCATTCATATTTCTGCTCTCATGGTTATGTTTGTGTCCGTGTGGACATGCGGGGATCTGGGGACTCAGAGGGATTTTATTATGATGAATATGAAAAACAAGAGCAAGATGACTGCTGTGACATCATCAGCTGGATTTCGCAACAAACTTGGTGCACAGGAAATATTGGTAAATGCCATTATCTAAAGCCATACCTTGAGAAAATACCCCCTTTGCACCAATTATGATTTATATTGTGGTTCAAAATTTTTATTGTGTCATTTGGTGATAAAAAGATAAAACCCACAATAAAGTTTGTTTTTATCAGGCATGTATGGTAAAAGCTGGGGAGGATTTAATGGCCTTCAGGTAGCTGCAAGACGACCCTCTGCACTCAAGACCATTATCTCTACATATTCCACTGATGACCGCTATGCAGATGATATTCATTACCGTGGTGGCTGCATCCTTGGCAGGGAAATGTTATCTTGGGCCCACATCATGTTCCTGTGGAATGCCCGACCTCCCCACCCAGATAGCTTAGGTCCAAGGTATTTGTTGAAATTTGTTTTTGTTCTTGACATGCACACCATCATGGTAAAAATTTATTATTATTGGTTGTTTTTTTTTAGTGGAGAGGAGGGCTGCTCCATGTCTACAGCTGTGGCCAATGTACCCTAGGCCCTCAATTTCCACTCCTTAAGCAATCTTCTGACCCACTCTCACCATGTCTTATGTATTTTTTCTTATTTTCCCTTGTGGTCTGATACCCAAGAATGTGGAGGAGCCATGGTCTTCTTCTATTGTTAGTATTCTGACTAACATATAAGCCTAACTTAGTCTCATCTGGGAATTCCCAGGGGCTGGAAAAAATAAGGAAGAAATATATTGACTCAAGAAGAAATATTTATTAAAACCAAATACATGATTCACAGATGGAAAGAAATGTGGCTGGATCGTCTGAACCAATCCAGTGAACCCTGGATACACATTTGGCTTTCACATCAGTCACGTGATACATACTGGAAGCATGGCTCCATTGCTGAGGATTACACCTCCATCAAGTGTCCTGTGTTTCTGATTGGTGGATTTAGTGATCTCTACACAGATGCAGTTTTCCGCATGGTGGAACACCTCAAGTGTCCTGTGCGAGCTCTCATAGGGCCATGGTCCCATGCATGGCCTGCAGATTCTTCACCAGGGCCTCAGATAGATCATCTAAAAGAGTGCGTCAGGTGGTGGGACTGTCATTTAAAAGGCCTTCCTACTGGTGTTATGAAGGAACCACTAATAAGGATGTTCTTGAGGGATGGTATGATGTTTAAGGCTCATAACAGTTTGGACTTGCTAGTGTTATTATTTTTTATACAAGCTAGCTATTCAAATTTATGAGACAGAAATCCTATTGCACGTAACTTCAGTTTCACCTGGTTGATACAGAATTTGGAATGTTGATTTTGAAGAGGGCAGAAAGTTGAAAATCCAGTGTTAGAGACTTGAAACAAGGATGAGAACTCACAGTATATGCAACCCACCTGTGATGTCTGTTTGCAAAATGGCATCCAAAAAAAACACGTTTGTCAACCGCTTAATTTTTAAACATAATCTAGTCTTATAATTTTTACCTTGACTTTCTCTGTAATTTATATATATATAGCTTCTTTTAATGTTGTAACATAGGATATGTGATTATTTATCTTATGCCTTAATAAAGATTCAATTCAATTCAATCCAAGCCACGGCAGGAATAGTCTCAACTGCTAATTTCACCATTTCTGGGGCCTCAACCTCAAACTCCATCCTTGCTTCCCAAAAGTACAAATTAGACAATACTGATGATTGAAACCAATGCAAGAACAGAAATGGGGGGGTTAATGAGGATTTGCATCACCAGTGGCTAATTGTATTTGCAGATGATTCGATTACAATAGTTTGAAATTCCCAAAAGAATTTCTGTGGTAGAAGAGCATACAGAAATGTTCAAGCAGATGAAATAAATTGATTAATCTTTGCCAGGATTTTGCATGGAACATGTAGTTAGCGTACTGTTACTTTCATCTTGAAGGAATTTCAAAGGCACACAAGGAAGATATTTGGCCGGGCCGGTGGATAGCAGAAGACTGCTGGCCCTCACCCAATGTTCAGCAACAAGAATTCGTACTACATAATGACCGGAGACTGGCACTGGCAACAGAGAGCCATGAACAAGCTGCTGGCCAAGGATCGGTGGAATCCAACGTATTTGTCAAATCTTCGTTTCTCAGTGGATCATGGGGTGGTCTGCCATTGGCTTTCAGTCTCCATGAATTGCCGATGGAGCAGGGATTTGAGGACAATTTGTCCGAGTGCTGGGAGACAGGGACGCTGAACGAACCTACTGCTGTAGTAGGATTTCCTGAGGTTCATGTGCAGTTGAGTTCTGACAGGGCCTGTGCTCTGGTAGCCGCTAGGCTATGTGACGTGTTTCCGAACGGCGAATCTGCACTTATCACGAGAGGTAAGGTTTAGGAGAAGACCTACCTTCTACACAAACAATTCAACGGATAAACTAAAAAAATTAACCAGAAAAAACTAAGTACTTTCAGCTAATCAAGACTTTCATTCTTTCACGACAACAACGTACAACACGATTCAGAATTAATATAAACAAGCGCTCTTTGTCTTGCATTTTATCGGTTAATTCAAAAAGTAACCCGATCGTTCTCGGCCAATTACACAGCATCTTTGAACAAATCCAGCCTTTTATAGGTGGCTTTCAACATTTGGGTGGATACAATTATTCTGTAAGCTACGGTACCGTAATTTTCTTATGTTATTACCTTTTCACCGATTAGTGATGAAAATGGTACAGTTCAAACGAAACTGTGGTGCTGCGTCGGTCGGGGTACTATACGATAATTTGGCTTTATCAACCGTGTTGATAATGTAAATTAGTATATACTAAAACAGTGGATAGCGTTGAAGGCGCACTCTGATTGGCTAGTCAAACTCCGAATATCCTTTGCTATTTACCTCCGAGCAACTCGGGAAAAAATGGCGTCTCGGTTTGCATCCGTGACAAGCGAAGAAATCACTCAAATCAATTTTTGTTGGTGTATATCATCTCACTGTTATATGCTAAAACAACTCTTCACCTGTCGGTGGTTAGCGGTGGATATTTACCTCGCCGCTTCGCGACTCGGTAAATATCCACCACTAACCACCTCCACTTCGGTGAATAGTTGTTAATTAGCCACCGTAGAGAGTTTCTGAGGCTGATGTTTCAGGCGTTAGCCCTTCGTTAGATTGCTGATTCACCAGCTGTCTTTGGCGGAATGTAAAAGAACAGTTAACATCCATTCCTCACAAACTGAGCAAACTTTTGAGGTCCGGGTAATTAATCTCCATTACCTGTCTTTACTGCAGGAGTGTTGAATTTGACTCATATAAACGGGCATTCATCAGAAGATATCCAGCCCCTTCAGCCTCATGAATACTATCATGCTCAGTTGAAGCTTGACTCTACAGCCTACACTTTTGCGGCTGGTCATAGAATTCGCCTAGCTCTCTCCTCAGTTCACTGGCCGTATGTTTGGCCTTCTCCGCAGACGCCAAGTCTCTCGATACAAACAGGAAATAAGAGTAAGCTACTACTTCCGATCCGAATCACAAATCAAGAAGTTAGTGAAAAGGATTCTCAGTTAAAAGACTTTGAATTCCCTGACTATAAATATGTACATCTTCCTGTTGAATGGCGGAGGACACCTCGTAAGGCCAGGTAATCTTACAATTCCAGATTATAAATAATAGTGAGAAGTTACAAATAATCGTGAGAAGTAATGTTGCTGTCTTTTGCCAGAAAGAATTGAATGTCTCACTCGTTCTCAGTCTCCCATTTTGAGGCACAAGGTTACGAACTGTATGGTTCTGGTTCGAGCTCTGGCCGAGTCATTGAATGTTTTTTCAGACTGGATACTACTCTCACGTGGCCGCTCCCCACCAAGCAGTAAAATTAGGCACCAACGCGCTATCAGTGAGACCGTACGGAAGTCTGGGAAGTTGCTTGCTATAGACTCGGATTTCATTATTGGTGGGGGGAGTAGTCAGGGGGAAGAGGCGGGGTGGGGAGACAGGGGAAAGGAAGAGCGGGGAGGGAGCTTCTTCTCCCTCTGTTGGTTTCTTATTTTCCTACTCTTAGGGTTCATAACATTTTTTTTCCTTATTCAAGGAATCTAGAAATTGGCCAGCTATCTGACGATTACAGATTGACTGTCAGCCTGGACTCTGGATGTTATAATTTGAAAGATACGAACACCACTTATGATGAGATTAACACAGAGACTTTCACGATTAAAGAAGGGGACCCAGTCTCATCCAAGGTCTACATACAAGGGCAGGTAATGATGAAAAAAGAAGGTGATACCGCTGAGGAGAAGGGCAGTGGGCACAGCTGTTGGGATACCAGAGTCCAGGCCTCCAGCGAGATGTGGTGTGTTGAACACTTTTTTCATTTGAAAAGTCAATTAACAGCTTGGCATTGTAATGAAAAGTGTTTTGAAAAGCAATGGACAAAGGAAATAGGACGATTTTACGTTTAAAGATATGGTCACTTGCTATAGTATCGAAACGTAGATATCAAACATAACTAATTAATCACTAGTTAATAAATAATTGATTAATAATTAAAAGTATCTCGCGTGAACTTATGAGTTGAAACCCTGGAGTTGAATTGTCGGTGTTCAAGTCTCAATCGATACGGAACGTGAGCCAATCAAAGGCTTTCAGATAGAACTCCTTCGTTTGTCGGTGTTCAAGTCTCAATCGATACGGAACGTGAGCCAATCAAAGGCTTTCAGATAGAACTCCTTCGTTTGTCGGTGTTCAAGTCTCAATCGATA